GGTCCCTGTGTTTTGCTTGGCTTAGCTTGTTCTAAGTAGGTGCTTTAGACCACTGAGCCATCTCACCAGCCCCACAAAGCATTCTTATTGACAACCTTCCACAGAACCACCTCTGGCTCCTACTGCAGACCCGCAGTGCCCGCATTATCCAGCCCCTTCTTTTCTTTCCATCTTGGCCACGGGATGCCCTGAAGGGCAAACAGGAGAAAACAGCTTAGAGGGAGTTCCAGCCAAGGTTGAGTTACGGGCACAAGAATGTGGCTGAACTCCTGGATGTGGAAGTGAGGACTCAGAACTGGGCACAGGGGCACAAGCCCATAATCCCCACTACTTGGTACACTGACCCAGGAGGATTACATATTTGAGCAATTTAGCAAGACCCTGTCTCAAAAAAAAAAAAATCCATGTGTTATACTGCACACCAGGAATCCCAGCCCTCTGGAAGGTTGGAGGATTATGAATTTGAATTGAACCCAGGAAAATTAGTGAGATCCTATCTGAAAAATTAAAAAATTGCTGGGGACATAGCTCAGTGGTATCCAGTGGCACTGGCTGACCATTTTAACGGTCGCTCTCTATCCTGACTACCTTAAACTACAGGGAACAGAACTGGCATAGAGGTTTAACTACTCTGGTGTGCTGACCTTCCATTATACCCAACTGGGCTTCTAATGAAGCGCAAATTCCAGAGAATCTGAAAGGCCCAGGAAGGCAGGCCCAGGAAGCTGTTTTTACCAGTGGCCTAGTCATTCTGGTGCACTAGTGCTTACACGCCCGTGGGCTAAATTCATGGGCTGTGGAGAAAACTAAGTCAGTCTTGGCCTGAAGAGGTTAAAAAGAAGGCGGTGAACTTTAATTTGGGGCACAACGTTCATTCAGAATGGGAAGGGCTGGCCAAATAGCTCAGTGGATTAAAGTGCCTGCAAGCAGGCACAGGGGCTGGGGGTTGGATCCCCAGGCCTGCTGTGCCAGCCCCACCTCCGGGGTGCACTGAGTCAGCAACTGAGACTGGGCATGGTGGCGCGCACCTATAATCCCAGCTCTTGGGAGGCTGTAAACAGGCAGATCACTACAAGTCCAATCTAGTAGTGAGACCCTTAACACCTTGTAGATCTTTCCCTAAAATTAAAATAAAGGGGGGGC